CTTCTTCATCTCTAAATAAGGTGTCATTCATCCTCCATCTAAAGGATCCGGTTGTTGTTTGTTTCATCTCCATCCTTACAGCATTATGGTCGGAAGAAGTTTTTGGGCAGATTTCTACCTTCTTTATCTTTGGTGCCATTCCTCTAGTTATCCATATTTGGTCAATTCTAGTCCATGTCATCTTGGCTGCCGAAATAAAAGGTTCCTTGTCTTCCCAGGGGTTCTTTACCCTCCAGATGTCCACTAAGTCCATATTGTCTGTCATCTCAAAAATGTTTTCGGTAGTCTACCATCCTTGGTGACTACCTGTCTTTGAGCCTTGTCCATATTTGTAGATACTACTCCATTCATGTCCCCCATCAAAATCAAATTATAGTCCAAATGATCCAATAAAGTCTCATGCAACTTTTTATAGAATTCAGATTTCCCCTCGTTCGGTGCATAAATTCCCACGATTACTGTTACAGCATCTCTAAACTCTGCTGTGACAAATGCTGTGGTTGAAAAGGGCCCTGGAAGGGAATGGATCCATTGGGATGGATTTCTTCCCTTCTGGATCTTCTGCTGGCTTTGCTGGAGTGGAGGGCTGTGTGTGCCCTGGGTCACGGGCATGGGTGTAGCCAAGGGGGGCAGGGAGGAGCAGTTGCTCCCCGATCAATAAGAATCAGTAAAAATACCTCCCCCTAACAAAGGGCCTACCCCCCCAACAAAAATTCTGGCTATGCCCATGGTCACAGGCGCCCTTTAATCATTTAGTTCATTTCTTCATAAGATGAGCTGTTCTTTCCCAGCCCTGGAACGTAGTGTTCCAATAACACACAGTTTGGGAATTATAATTAGAAAGAATACTTAAATAAAAATATGGCTTAAGGAACTCGTGGCTAGAGCTTCTTGTCACAAACAGGCCTTTTGGAACCAATATTTTGGGATGTGCAATCTGCACAGTAATGTCTGCACATTTGAGGTTTGTTCTTTCAGTTTGTTCAGCTGTTTGTTCGCTTGCTCAGCGAGTGGAGAATGAGGGACATTTTTCTAGCCTGCCCCTCCATCATTCCTCCTCTCCTGCCCTCCACCGCCTTTTCCATTCCAGGCGTCCAGACTGGTGTTTCTGTGCTTTTTTGTGCGTGCCACTTTTAAAAAAACTTTTTAAAAAACACACAGAAGTTTTTTTGCCAGAAGTGCACAAGACCAAATGTTAGCAGCCCTTGGTTCTTGCATTTCACAATAAGCATAATTGGGGGGGGGGGTATTGTGTGCTGTTGGGAGGAGGAGGAGGGGGGGCATTTCCATTTGATTTTTGATACTGAGTTCTTGCTCCAGAGTGATATTTAGCTATATCAACCTGCTCTGTGATTTAGCAGGTGTGTATGGCTATATATATATATATATATATATATATATGGAAATACCCCATTACCATTAACAGCACAGCCCTAAATTCTGCCCCACCTAAAAACCCACAGCAACAATGAATTACTGAAATCATAATACAAGGTCTTGCGCAGATCGCCATCAGCATTATTTCTAAAGTCAAATGCACAGGACCCTGCTTGCATCTGAGGCCAGACCCTCACACACTTACCACGTGGGAACCTTGAGAGATGAGCCCCCCCAACCCAGGTGCTGAATTTCAGGGGTGTCTTCAGCCTCTTGTTTGGCACTGCGGTCACCAGAAACAAAAGGAGGAGGTTGTGCCCAGGAGAGGAGGAAAAAGAAACATCACCAAATATGGCACAAACTGCCCATTATTTTTACTCATCAGATTTTCTGTGGTGAAGGGAAATGTGGATTAAATGCAGGGATTTTGGGGGGTGATGGTCCAAGGTAGCAGCACCTCTTTTTTTTTACCCCCATAAAAGTTATTTTGTATGGGCACCTGTGGCACTTTTATCCATGTCAGTAATGGCACCTCATCTTTTCTTTGCCCCCCAAAGCACCGAGTAAATGCAGTCAATAAATTAATACTGCCCCACCCCCACCCTGGAAATCGCACCTTTCTAGAGAAGAACTTGTGTTTCGTTGTTGCAACAAGAACAACAAGAACACCAGACATTAAAAACAAGGACCCGGCGAGCGTTTCAGTCAGGAGGCACCGAATGACCTAATGCCCACATTTCAATAACAATTCCAAGAGGACGCGAAAGTCAAGCCGTAAGCTCTGTCTAGATAGGAAAGTCCCAGCCACCAGCCCAGCAAAGGTCGGGAGAGGAAACATCCCTGCGCACGGAGCCCCTTCTTCCAGCGAAGCTTGCTAGCTCCACAGGAGCCGCCTTCTCTCTGCTGGCTCAGAAGCAGGGACTCTCCACACGGGGTCCCCCTTCACCTGCGCTGGAGTTCGCTGCCTCCCCTCCCCGCTGCTCCCAGGTGGAGGCTGTGGCCGGCGCCTCACGTCTGGAGCTGTGCGCTGGGGCGGGGAAGCCCTCTCCTTCTCCGGAGAAAGAGGAGCTGGGCTGTTAACACCTGTCAAGGAAGGTCCCAGCCCCACCCACCCGCCGAGGGCAGCTAGGCCAGCCTGGAGGGCCAGCCAAGCCCGTTCATCTGTACCAGGTCACAAACCATAAGCCATGGGTTTTAGCCTCCACCCCACCCTTGCTCCCCATGATGCTCCCTTTCCTCACCCTCACCAGCCCATGAGCTGTGGACCCTCCCCACTCCTGTCACCCCCTGACTGCAGAAGGAACACCGTTCCACTGACGGGGGGGGGGGGCACTTCTCTCTCCTTGCCCCTGAGATGACTCTGGGCTTCTTGGCAGCCCTGGCTGTATAGGACATTCTCTGGCAATTGCCAACATGGAGCAGGCGGCAAGCCTTCCAGCCAGTGCCTGGCACCTGGAGAGGAAGCAGCCCTGGCCCACGAGACCTTCTGGCCTGTTGCCTTCCTCTGCGTGGACCTTCCAGGGGTGGGGTGGTCTTCTGGCCTTGTTGTGCACTCCCTGCCTTTGCAGGGGGTGGTTGGCGAGTGGCAGGGCCTGCTTCACTGTGGTGCCCTGCATGCTGAATGCCCTCTCTGGTGTGCTCTGCCAGACCCCAGCCTGATGCCATTTCCTTTGCTCAGGCCTTTGAATGACTTGCAGGGGTGGCACGATCTTCCCTGTTGGAGGTTGCCACACAGCAACTGGACAGCTGCCGGGGGGGGCACAATCTCTCCCTTAATGTCCCAGTAGGAAGCAGATGGTTGGAGTAGGCTGGGATGAGCCTCAGCACCACATTTCCTTGTGGGCACACCCCACTCTCCATCCTCCATTGACATGAGCAAGAGGTATCATCCGAGGACACAGTGGGGCAGAGTCCCAAGGGGCAGGCAGGGGGGAATTTTGTTCTCCACCCCTGAACTTGATGCTTCCGTGAACAGTCGGCACAAGTTGCAGGGAGGTTGTGAAACAGATCAGGAATCATTTCATGGCATGTCTCCCAAAAGTCTGGCCCGGTCACTCACTCTCAACCTGTCTTTCCCTCTGAAATATGGGTGTGATAATACTCTCGTTCGTTCATTCATTCATTCATTCATCAATCACTTATAGTCCACCCTTCTTGGCAATGACCAGATGGAGACTACAGCAGCCAACTTAATGTTGGTTCTTGGATGCCCAACTCCTGCCAGCCCCAGCAAGTGTGGCCAGTGGTCAGAGGGTGGGAGCCCAGCCACCTCTGGCTCCCACCCCTGGACTGCAAGGAGATAATGTTCAGAAAGCGCTTTGGCCACTCAAAAACATTTGCAGATGTCGTAAGGGTTATTGTTATTATTTATTCCTTATGGGGTTCCCCAATTCTGCCAACCAACAGTGGTTTCCCTGTTCCTGAAAGCAGGAAAGAAATCGCTGTGTACATTTATTTGCATGTATATATATTGGCTCCAGTTCCACCCTGGGAATGAGCAGGGCTGCCTACACAGGGCATGCCTGGGAAGAGCGGAGACTGAGAGACAGAGCGAGAAACAGGCTCTGCAGGTAAAGGCTTGTGGGATTGGCCGCAGGACTGGCTAGTTGACCCCAATGGACAAGCTACTGCTATGCATTATAGTGGGAGGCGATTAACCCCCTTTCATCAGATACTTAACTCACACTCCATAAACTCATTTTGAGAGAGAATGATTTTATTTCGCTCTTTGCTGTTCCAGGGCAATTAGTTATCAGCTCTTTGCCTTTTTGTAATTTTTTGCAGCAAATAATGGCTGTTTTAGCTGCAGAAATTCCTAGCATTCATTAGCAGCAGAACCAGACTCATCATGTTCATTAAGAGAGAGCAAGAACAAGAATGAGGGAGACCTAACTGTGTTCTGCCTGGTGCTGGAGCCCTGGAAGCAGCCTGTGTGGAGCTGAGCTGGGTTTGCGAAGAGGCATCTGGGAGGCAGCAGAGGGTTGCCTCCTTGCTGGGGCTGGCAGTTTGGAGGGCAAAGGGCAGGCAGGCAGCCCAGTCTGCCTCGGGGCCTGCGCTGCTCCCATACTTGAGACTGCAGCCGCTCACTGGAGGAGCACCTTGTTAGCCTGGGAAACATCAAGAGGCAGCCTTGGATCCCACTGAAGTGCAAATTCCTCTAATCAAATGTGCATCATAATGCTATAATGCTCATCTTGTTCAGCAATATTTCACCCGCGTCGTAATCTAAACACAATTCAGTGCATATTGTGAGCATGCATTATGCACAGCGACAGAGATATTGTGCCATAAATGTGCCGCATCTCTTGTTTTAAAAATTGCCAAAGTGTTCTCTAGCTATTGAAACAATTCAAGCATCTTAGCCATTACTGTAAATAGTGGATTAGCAAAAAGATGCCAAGGAAACAGACCTGGGCTTTCAAATTAATATTTTATGTAAATATGACATATCTGCGATCCTTTCCAGTGCACATTCTTTGTCTCTATACCCCCTGCCCACCACCCATCAGCTGAGATGCTCCACCAACTGTATTCAGCAAGTCTTACTCTCAAGAGAAGGCATTGATTATTGAATCATATAACAAGGGTCAAGTAGTCCAACTCCCTGCAATGCAGGAATCTTTTGCCCAATGTGAGACTTGAACCCACAACCCTGACATTAAGAGTCTCATGCTCCAGCGACTGAGCTATCTCCATGGCAATGACAACATGAGAGGGCCTGCTCACGGGTTGAGGTTTGGTTTGGGGCCACTTAAAGGTAAAGGGACCCCTGACCATTAGGTCCAGTCGTGACTGACTCTGGGGTTGCGGCATTCATCTCGCTTTATTGGCCGTACCCACAGCGCCACCCGCATCCCTTTGGGGCCACTTAGTTGTGAGTTATCAGAGGTTCTGCAAAGCCTGAAGCGTTTCATGCAGCGGGGCACCCATTGGGGCGTAGGCCTCCTCCCCAAGTCCTCTCCCTGCTCAGATCGTTGAAAGACCTTGCTGACCTACTACAAGAGAAGGATGAGAATTTGAAGATTTTGGGATTCTCTAGTCTATGGATCCAAACTACATTGGGTGTGTTTGACTTCTTTATTTTTTTAAAAAGAATACCAGGCTGTGGTTTAATTTTTATGTACAGTGGTACCTTGATTTTTGAGCGTCTTGGAAGCTGAACATTTCAGTTTTTGAACGCTGAAAATCTGGAAGTGAATGCTTCCGTTTTCAAACGCGCCTCAGGAGTCGAATGGCTTCCACTGTGGTTTTTTTCAATTTTCATTGACTTTGCACCTCGGTTGTCGAACATTTCGGAAATCAAATGGTCTTCCGGAACGGATTACGTTCAACAACCAGTGTACCACTGTATACACTTAAGCGTTATTTGTGTCTTTCAGGGTTAAATCACTCATCTGGGCTGCCAAAGTCACAGATCATACAGAGACGGGGCAGGCAACGTCTTCTGTGGATGGATGGAGCTACAGATTAAAAATAATAATTTCATTTCTTTTAATTAGGTTTTTTTTGAAGATTTTCTTGTGTTACAAAACAAGCAAAATAAACATGGAAAAGTACACATAGCGTCTCCATTTTTGATTTATAGAGCCTTTTTCACGGTTTGTTTATGTTTGGTATGAGACAATATTGTCATAGACCTCATGTGGTTGGGGGGAGGTAGGGGGGTAATGTTCCTTCGTTCTATTGCATAGCGATTATGTGGGGGTTTATGTCGGCATCACTTGGGTAGGTCCTTTGTTTATATATATATTTATTTATTTATATTGCTATTGACATTGTGGTAGATTAGAGGGTCCAGAGCATTCAGTTGGTTGCAGTACAGCTTGTTTGTTTGTATGTGTGAGGCTGGTGTCTTGTGGGTCAGATCAGCCATATTGATTCATATGCCGGGGGAGGGGGGGAAGAGGTCATTGTCTTGTTGAGTTGTACATGTGATAAAGGGGAGTCACACTGGGGTGACGGTGTCCTGTGTTGCTAATTTAAGTTTGTTGCAAGCTCCCAGCTCCCCCCACTCACAGCACAGTTGTGTGCTCCAGCACAGAGTTATAGGCTTAAAAAATGCTATTTTTCTAGAAAAATAGGTGCCGGTACTCACCATGAGGGACACGGGTGGTGCTGAGGGTTAAACCACAGAGCCTAGGACTTGCTGATCAGAAGGTCGGCGGTTTGAATCCCCGCGACGGGGTGAGCTCCCGTTGCTCGGTCCCAGCTCCTGCCCACCTAGCAGTTCGAAAGCACGTCAAAGTGCAAGTACAGTGGTGCCCCGCAAGACGAATGCCTTGCAAGACGAAAAACTCGCTAGACGAAAGAGTTTTCCGTTTTTTGAGTCGTTCCACAAGACGAATTTCCCTATGGGCTTGCTTCGCAAGACGAAACGTCTTGCGAGTTCTTGCGAGTTTGTTACCATTTTCTTAAAGCCGCTAAGCCGTTAATAGCCGCTAAGCCGCTAAGCCGCTAAGCCGCTAAGCCGCTAATAGCCGCTAAGCCGCTAATAGCCGTGCTTCGCAAGATGAAAAAACCGCAAGACGAAGAGACTCGCGGAACGGATTAATTTCGTCTTGCGAGGCACCACTGTAGATAAATAGGTACTGCTCCGGCGGGAAGGTAAACGGTGTTTCCGTGCGCTGCTCTGGTTCGCCAGAAGCGGCTTAGTCATGCTGGCCACATGACCCGGAAGCTGTACGCCGGCTCCCTTGGCCAGTAAAGTGAGATGAGAGCCGCAACCCCAGAGTCGGCCATGACTGGACCTAACCATCAGGGGTTCCTTTACCTTTACTCACCATGAAGTTGTTAACAGTAAATGCCATACTTTTTGACAACAACAACAAAAAAAGAGGTGCTTGTACTGCGTATCCTTGATTGCCCCTGAAAAGGGGCTTAAAATGCTACGTCTGCCTTTCCTGCTGGGCGCAGCCTGGCCTGCATGGAACCAGTCAATGAACCTAGCCATTGGTCTCACCCCAAGGGAGCAGCACCCTGCTGGATGCAGCAAGAGCAGCAGCACCCCAAGGCTCTGACCATTAGGCTGCCCTGCACTGTAAGAACCTAAGAAGAGCCTCATGCCCATGGCCCATGGAGTCCGGCATCCTCTTCTCACAACAGCCAATCCAATGCCAGTTGTGAGAAACCCACAAGCAGGATCCAAGCACAAGAGCAGACTCCCTGTCCCAGAGTCTTCCTCCTCCTCCTCCAGTGCTAGGATGAAAAGAGCTTGGCAGCCACAGCCAAAGGACTGCCAGGGCTGCCTGTGGAAGGAGATGCTCTAATAAAGTCTCCACACCGGAGCTTTGCTAAATGATTTGTCTTTTAACTATTGCACAGGCCTTATTTCTATCTCTCTCTCTCTTATAAAAAGCCAAACATTGTTTTATGCAGGAATGCAAAAATTATTACACATAATTAGAGTCATTTCGATTCCAATCTCTGCTTGGGCCTGACATATTTTGCATACTCTGCTGGCATATAACAAGTCAGCTCATAAAAATGCAGGCAGCTCACAAGCATGGCGCGGGCGAGATCGGAGGTTGTCTAAACTAGCGTAAAAACTGCCTCTGCTTTGGGGAAGGGGGGCCTGGCGACGACATGGGCGTAAATTTATTTTGTCTCATTAGGGAGCGAGGCAGAAGCGAGGCTCTGCATCCCAATCAAGCTGCGGCGGCGTCCGTCACCCAGCAAGCGGGGTGGGGGGAGGTAGGCGGGGAGGTGACAGCTGTGCCGTCTCCCTTGCCCACCCAAGGGAGACGGTTGGGTTCTGTGGCTCACTGTGCATCCGCTCAGGAGGGGTTGCCCCTCCAGCTCGCCTTGCTGCACACCTTTGGGTTGTGGTTAGCGTTTCACGAGTGAAGTCCTGCAGGAGCCTTCTGCACGCAGATGCTCCCCACTTCCCAGGAAGGAGGAGAAGATGCTTGCAGCACGAGCCACACCTGGGCATAAGGAGAACCTGGTTGCTGGATCTGGCTCAGGGCTGGATCACCTAACAGGCAGACTAAGGGCTCATCCACACCTTCACTTCATCCGTATGTTGCTCATCTAGTGTAACAATTAGTTTCCCCGGATCCAAGAGCTTTTCTTGTTGTTCGGCAGCTCAGCCTTGCGAAAATCTGATTTTGCCAGCTGAACTGAAGCTCAGTTAAGCAAAATCTCTCTCTGGGTTTTCCTTGCATCTGATAAGATCTCATTCCCCGGGTAAGATGGGATTTTCACAAGGCATAGCCGTGGAGCAAAAAGGACAGCTATTTGATCTGAGAGAATTAATCAGGACATGATGCAATCAAAATGCAGGTCAAACGAAAGTGTGGATGAGCCCAAAGTGCAAAGAATGGGATGGGATGGGAAAAGAACAGAACAGAACAGAACAGAACAGAAAAGAAAAGAAAAGAAAAGAAAAGAAAAGAAAAAGAATTTTGGGGAAAAGAATTTGGCATTTGATATTTCAAAAAAAGAAAAAGAAAAAAGCATTTAAGTCATCATGAAAAAAACCAGAATTTTGTTAGACTTCCTTACCCTCTGCCTCCCCCATTTTCCTGCTCTCTTTTTTACTCCTGCCCACCTAAACCTCTTTTTTTGTTTTTAAAGAGTGCAATAACTTCATACTGGCACCTATTTTTTCTTGAAAAAAGCACTGGCATCAGTATGCATAGCATTGCTGAATATATTTTTTTACTTAAGAGTCAAGACATTGAAAGAGTATGTCAAAAGTTCCTCTGAATTCAAACTTTAAAGTGGCATTCAACATTTCTGAATTAGAAAACTATGCTGTATTTTGAAACTGTGAAACTTCATTCCATCTTTTGCTCCTCAGTGGTAGCAACCTTCTGCCCGGCACAGGGGGCTGTTCCACCCATTTGCACAGAAACAAAGCTGTATTTCCCACAGAGTGTACAGTCAGCAAGGAGCCACTCCCAGATCCTGGCTCCCTCGATGAGCACAGCTGTGTGATACGTGGCTTGCAAAAACCAGATTGCTCTGTTCACATCCTGCATTTTTAAGTGTAGGGATTGATTGCTTTTTTTAAAAAAAGTAAATGTATGCTGAGAAATTGTTGTGTGTGGAGTTGAAGAGCCTACAAATGTGAAGGAAGGCAGTTTTCATTCCTCCTCATTTCACAGAAGTTAGCAGTTTGAAATAGCTCCCTCATTGGGGGACGGGACAATTTGGACCCAAAGACTGCAACCCCTCAGGGGGCCCCATGCTAGGGCAGTGGGCCAATGCCAGTGAGAGTCATCTTGAGGGGAAGACATGGGGGGGGGTTTTAACCCCTCTGGGATGCCACTGGAGCCAAGGGCTGCACCCCCACGGAAGTGGCAGGTAGATTAAGGAAGGACCCTGATTGAGAAACAGGGAAGTGGAGCTCTCAGGCTGAGAGAATGGGAGGGGAAAGGGAATCTCCCAAGAGCGAGCCAGGAGGGTCTGTCATTTTCTGCAGGTGGCCAGGATTAAGAGCTACCATCTGGGATTCATGCAGTCTTTTTGTATTTCAGATACCCTGCCCCCCCCCACTTTTAATGCTGTTGCACTTATGAGAATCTGCATTGTATTATGTAATTCTTAGAATTGTTTTAATTTCTATGCTGTACATGCAGGTCTCACTATTCAAATGCTCACAATATGAAAATTCACTTATCCAAACATAAGGAATTAGTACCCAAATCTCACAACGCACACTGCAGATTCAGATATCCAAACAGCTGAACCTGTGT